GTAGTCTGGGATTTGAGGCAGGAACCCTGGGATTCCATAAACTTTGGACTGAAAGGGATTTGTTAGATCTTTCTTTTCCCTCTCTGTCTCCAGATAGGGCCATCCGCTTCTTTTCTCATCACACCAGGCCTTTTGTAATTCTCTCCTAGGCCCAGAAAGTCTGTCCTGGTGTCTATCTAGCCTCAACCCTGGTTGCTGAAGTGTTGGCTCTGCTCCCTTGGAAGGAACGTCTATTGGGAGATTTGGTCTCACATACTCCAGCACCCTCGCTTCAGGCCCGCAGATGGAGCCAAGCTGTGCTCTAGCCTGGAAGAGCTGTTGCTGGGTGCTGAAACAGCTGGGACCTGGGGAAGCTCGTACCTCTGGAGACTGGAGGTCAGAGCTGGTTCACTGTGTGCTGCTGAGCTCAGCCCAGGGCTGGGTTACTTTGAGCTGGAAAGCAGTCCTGGCTGGGGATGGAAGTCCCTGGGGCCAATGTCTGCCATGGTCCAGGTTGGGGCAAGACCCCGGGGATGCCAGGAGAAAGAAAAGTATGTGCCCACCCATCCTTGGGAGCCCCATTGTGATGGAGGAGGGGCACCCCTTGCTGCACCCCACGTCAGGTTAAACTATCTGACTACTTCTGCTCATGTAGGCTGGACTTGCCTTTCCAAAGTCAGCTCTCAAGACTGAGTTTGCTGCTTCCCAGGTGGTTAAAGTCTCACTACATTGGCATTCAAGATACTTAAGATTGTCTGCAGGCCGGGATTGGTGGCTCAACCTGTAATCCCAGCACTTTGGGAGGCCGAGGCGAGTGAATTGCCTGAGCCTGTGGGTTCGAGATCAGCCCAGGCAACTTGATCTCTACAATAAATCAAAAATTATCTGGGTGTGGCAGTGCACGCCTGTGGTTCTGGCTACTTGGAAGGCTGATGCGGAAGGATCGTCAGTTCCCAGCAGGCCAACACTGAGGTGGCCGTGAGTGTGCCACTGCACTCCAGCCTGGGAGACAGAGTGAGACTCCAACTCAAAAAATAAAAAATAAATAAAAAGAATGTCTGCAAAGGAACAGGACCTAATCACAGCTGCCATAAGACTCTAAGGCCCAAGGACCCCATGTCAAAGAAGGGTTGGAGAGAATTGGGGTTAATCAGGGTGGGCTTCCTGGGGGAGAGCAAGCAGCTCCTTGGCTGTGGATGACGGAGAAGCACCCAGCCAGAGTTGTGGAGGGTGTGTGACTGGGCTGAGAGGTCTGAACCTGTTCTGGTTGACTGACCCCCTGGGAAATCCAGGGAGTTTCCAAGCTGAGAGTTTGGTGGGGGTGGGGGGATGGGTCTGGTGGGGAATAACGTTGTTAGATACCTGCTGGGTGGGGAGGGCCTCTCTTGTCTTAACCCCTCCTGCTGTGGGAGGCACCTGTGGAGGTGGAAGAGGACTGATTCTGCTGTGTGTTTACACTAGTGTCAGCATCTGTTTAAGGGCACATGTGCGTTTGTGTGCATTTTACACTTCTGTTCTCTTCATGTGTGTGCGTGATGGTTGTGGAGCTAGAATGTGCTGCTAGGTGAGTTCATGCCAGAATCTGTAGTCTAAGTGTGTGTGAGCCTCTGTGTAACTGTAAGAACCCTCCGGGCTGACACTGGGGGCAGAGGCAGGCATCCGAGTCACTACGTGTGTACAAATGTCTGTGACTGTGTATGCCTGTGTGTGTTCCAGGGAGTGACCCTGGGTGATCGAAGGTGTGTGAGTGCCTGTGACTTTGTACACAGGATGTGTCTGTGGGTTCTATGTGTACCCAAGAATCCATGGTATTGTATGCACGTGCCTGTGGGTCTCCCCAGCCTTGAGAGTGACTCTACCGAATCCCTACACAATCTTTCCAATCAGGCTGTTCTATCCACTTCTCTTCCTCCTCCTCCCCCAAACCCCACCTCCTGAAGCATGAGGCTCACCCTTTTGACGCCCTCAGCCTCCCTGTCTCTGGTAAAACCTCATAGCTTTGCAGACCATGACAAATGGGACCCAGGCTAGGGTGGAGGCTGCAGGGGGTACCCTCTCCAGGCTGATACCCCATCAGAGCTTCACTTGTTCCAGGCCTACGTGACCCCTGACCCTGTACTCCCTGGCTGTACCACCCTCTCTCCTTCAGGAAGCAGTAGCCCCTGTGAGAACTTTGGGGAGACAGGGAAGTCATGGCCTGAGCCCCTGAGGGACCTACTCGGGCTGAGGATCCTAACCCCTAGAGCTGCCCTTGATCTGGGGCCCAGGTCAAGGTGAACTAGAGAGTAGTGTGGCACTCCTGCCTCCTCAATCTCCCTCACAAACTCCTCTTGTCCCTGGGACCTCTGGTTGTCATTGCTGCCTCTGGGGCTGGTGCTGGAAGGGGCAGGGAAACAGGGAAACTCCAGGGCCTTAGGGGAGAGGGAAAGGGGAGAACAGTCAGGGTTGGCTCAGAAATTGGGGTCTGCCTGCTGAGCTTAAGAAGACATTGACCGAGATGTTTCTCAAGGTCACACAGCACTCCACACACAGCAGTCTGGAAACAGGCTTTGAGGGCAGCATGTCCAGCTTCCCTCAAGAAGCAAGAAGCTCTTCTATGCCTTTGATTCATTCACTTCTTCAGACACCACTCACTGTACCAGCCGTGTGTAGAAACTGGACACAGCTCCATCAGGCAGCCTGTCCTCAAATTGTTTCCAGCCTCGTTGAGCTTCTCTAGCAACGGGGAGCTCTCTACCGGGAAGTTCTTGAATTCCAGCACTGCATAAGTTCGGCTCGTAGGAGACACCCAGAGTCCCTTGCTACCTTCCTGGAAACCGTCCATGAAGGGCTGTGGGTGCCCAGGCAGGGAAGGTGCAGATCCCAGTCCCAGCAGTGCCCGTTCACCTGTCGCAGCCTGGAGTGTGTGTGTAGGAGGAGCCAAGGTGCCAGGCTGCCTGCATGAACCTCACCCGGCGGACAGGCCCTTCCGTCGAAGGCTGGCCCAGTCTGTGCTGCTTTATTGCCCAGCTAATGACGGTGATTAGGCCGACAGGTGTCACCTGCTGCCCCGTCCACTCTTCTGCTTGCTGAGGAGGGTGGCTTCTGAGCACTGGGGGAGGCTTGACCCTGAGCCCTGCGAGGGCACCCACCATGGCCAACCCTTTGACCCTCAGGCTGGTTCGCGTCTACCTCCTTCCCCAAGAAGGCAGGGCTAGTCCAGTCCTCACTCCTTGGGGCTGCTGTGTCCACAGCTGGCCCTTTCTGAGCAGGACTGAGGGGGATGTGGAGCTGAGAACAGCAGGAAGGGCATGTGCACCCTGAGACACACACCCTCCTTTTCTCCAGCCAGAGCTGGACAGCAGGGCAGAGGGTCCTCCTTGCAGATGGGGCTGCGCCTTAGGAAGCCACTGCATTGTGGGTAAGCCACTGGGGGAGCCCCACCATCCTGGAGCCAGCCTACTCCCAGTGGAGGGGACTGTCGCCTGGGGCTTTGGCTGGGGGTGGGGGTCCTAGTGTGGATCGGGGTGGGAGCCATGATTTATGACTGTGCTTCATGAGCGAGGAATGCCAGCCTGGGGGCCGGGGTGGGGGCGGAGCCACTTACCTGACACTCCTCACTCTCTTGGATGTCTGGCATGTCCTGTCAGGATCCCCTGTCCCCTGGGGACAGCCGTGTTCTCCCCAGCACAATAGCCCCCTCCTATCTGCACTTCCCACCAGCCCACAGCTCTGGGAGGACTGAGCAAAAGCCCAGCTCAAGGGGGATCAGAATGAAATCCTTTTGGTTTTCTCTCTTTACAGCTCAGCCTCCTTTTCACCGGGTGTGAGGGTGATGGGCAGGAGGGAACGGGGGTGGGGGGGACTCAAGAAACTTCCATGTAGATGAACTCAAGGTCACATGCCAGTGTCCGTAGTGAGAGACAGGATAGACACAAAGATGCATTTCCGTCCAGGAAGAGCTATGCATCCCAGAAGGGATGATGGATATAGTGTCATTCTTCCCTACTCTACCCTCACTTTGCTAGATAAATGAAAACTCTGATGTCCATAAGGGTGGAGAAGGGGAGTGGGGGGGGAGACAGGAGTGGTAGAGGCAGAATAGGGAGGCAGAATGATCCCAAGTTGTAGTCCCGGACTCTAATGGCCATGCCAGTTTTGAGCCTGTTCCCGAGCCTAACCTGCATCCTTCTTGCTCCAGGCTGACATTTTGGGTGAGGGTCAATCTTTGGCACCCATCCTGGGTCAGCCTGCCTCCTCTGGTCTGGTGGGACTGGTTTTTCCAGCTGGAAGAAGGGTCGGTGAGGAACTGGCAGGGGCAGAGGGTTTTATGTAAATGCCCAGGGAGTGCTCTGGGAACGGGGAGGCCGGTTTTCCCAAAGACACGCAGGGACTGGCAGCTCCCAATTAGCTGGGCTCAGTGATGTCAGTGCTACTTTCCTGGGTGGCTGCACCCACTCTGATGGGTCTTGGCAGGGGTGCCCGGCCATTATCTTTCCCCTTGTGTGAGAGAGGTGCCGAGGGGCTGCCCTACAGGACAGAGGCCAGGTCCCCCCCACCATACTCCTCAACCTGGGGCCTAAGCCGCCTTGTGGGCCAGCCCTGGAGAGCATGAAAAATCATCCCAGACTCTACTGAAAAAAGGCTTTAATGTGGCTAATGCTTGAAGCCCGAGAGGCTGGGGAGACCTCAGTATGCTGGGCCCATGGCAACCACGGTAGGACCTCCTCCCAGGTCACTCCAAACCTGAGGTTTTTTTTTTTTTTTTTTTGAATTGGAGTCTCACTCTGTCACCCAGACTGGAGTGCAGTGGCCACTCCCGGCCACCGCAGCCTCGACCTGCTGGGCGATCCTTCCACCTCAGCCTTCCAAGTAGCTGGAATGACAGGCGCGTGCTACCACGCCCGGCTAATTTTTTGATTTATTGTAGAGATGAGGTCTCGCCAATTGCCCAGACGGGTCTCGAACCCGTGGGCTCAGGCAATCCGCTCACCTCAGCCTCCTAAGGCGCGAGATTACAGGCTGAGCCACCGAGTCCAGCTCAAGCCTGAGTTTTAATAAATACAGTGCAAAAGGGTCTGGTCACTAAGCCGGGGAGACAAAGACCCAGAGAAGGCATGTTGCATTGTCGGTGAACACGTGTACCACCAAGCACACACACCCTGGATCATGTGCACACACATCCCCCCAGACATCCTCACACCACCCCCACAGACACACATACATACACATGCATACACACACGCACACACACACATTTTCCTATGACACATAGGAGATTGAGCATACACACCTCCTCCCAGACACACAAGAGATGAAGTATCCACATGCCCTTCTCTCAGCATTTGATCCGGGACTTGGAGATTGGGGTGTCCCCTTGTGGCTCAGAGGAGTAGAAACGAGGTGGGTCTTCCTGCGCTTGACTGGGCTGCGCCCCAGTCTAGGGGCTAGGCGTGGTGGGGTTGCCCGGGCTGGGCAGGCAGTGGGCTGTGGTATTGGACTGTGCCCAGGAGGGGAAGGTGTGCAGGCTGAAGATGGGGAAGCTCCAGCTGTTGATGGCCAGCGTGATGATCAGCACGCCGATGATGTTGAGCAGAAATCCCGCCCGGGCCTGGAGTGGGGAGAGTCAGATGGACGGGGCAGGCGATAAACGGGGCCAGCACCCACCCTTCAGAGGCTCAGGGTTGCTTGGGAGTCCTCCTGCTGGCATGACTCTCCCTGGGTCTAACCCACAGCACTGGCCAAGCCTGTGCCTCTTGACTTTCTCCCAGTGCCAGCAGGGAAGAGGGAAGCTCGTGAGTGTCCAGGACCTTAGGCTCCATTCTCTCTGAGCTCATCTTCCTGAGTGGGGGTGCCTGGCACCTGGAAGTCTCCCCCATATTCCTCACCCCCTTCCCTCCCTCTCACATGGTCCGGGGCTGGCAGGGTCTGAAGATGTTACCACGGAGGGACCACATCCTGCTGCACCCTCCCTCCAATGGGACCCACTCTCAAGTCTGAGAATCACGCCTTTCAGCTACTTTGTAGTCCACCGAGCAGGAAGGAGGGTTGGGGCATTCAGGCCTTCCCGCCACTCACCATGTCAGACACTTTGAGGCCCCCGAAAGAGAAGACGATGGCATTGGGCGGGGTGGCCACGGGCAGCATGAAGGCCAGGGAGGCAGACAGAGTGCAGGGGAGCATGACATAGAGAGGGTGGAGGCAGATGGCCTGAGCCTGGAGTGGGAGACAGAGGGGCAGAGGTGACCTTGGTTCCCATTCCAGGGCGGGGAGGCCTCAATTCCCCTCTCCCGGGGACATACCCTGCCCCCAACACACTCTCTGGTCATGAACCCACCACTTTTGCCGGAAGGCACTGGGTGACCTGGGAAGGGCCCCTTGACCTCTCTGGAGGGAATGAGTGTGCTGCCCTGCCTCGTGGGGTGTGGTGAGGGGAGGGGCCCATAAAACGGATCTCAAAGTGGCTCCGGGGGTGTCATCAAAGGCTGCAGGAACGCACCTGGGGAGGAAGGGGCTGGGGACGCTTGGGGGAGCAATTTTACCCCATCACCTCAGGAATGACCAGAATGGGGGCAGGGCTGGGGAGGTGGGTGAGGCCACCAGGGAGCCCCGTCACGATACTCAAGGAGTGATGTCACCAGGGATGGGGTGAGTCAGGGGCCAGGGTGCCTTGGAGCCCAAGGTGGCTCAAGAGCCTGGAAAAGGGTGGAAGCTCAGGGGTCCTCTCCAGGAAAGGAGGAGGTGCAAAGAGGCAGGAGGACTGCTCAGAGGAGGTGTTTCTGCAAGGCCAGCTCACCATGGAGGCCAGGATGGGCAGGAAGAGTGTGGTGGTGGCCACGTTGCTAGTGCACTCGGTGAAGGTGGCAACCAGGAGGCAGAGGATGAAGGCAATGGCAGGAGCTGGCACATGCTGCAGCGGGGTCAGCTTGTCCCCCAGCCACTCTGACAGGCCCGATTGCTGTGGGCAGAGGACAGCGGTGGATGAGAGGCGGGGTTTCCCGGGCTCCAGAGTCCCTGCATGAGGCTCGAGCAGGGTCCTGCTCCTGCCCACACCTCCTAGTCTTCAGAGCCAAAGATAGCTCTGAAGGGAAGCTAGAACCCAGCTAGGACAAGGGCAGTTCCTGTCCTCTTGAAGAACAGTTGCAGGTGGGGAGAGGGGCCAGATGAGAAATTAGAAGGAGGTCAAAGGGCCTTCTTGGGGAACCTGGGGCTTGGTGGGAGTAAAAACCTTTGACCTCATTATTCCTGCCTTCCTGACCTCTCTCAGGAGGTCCCTCGACCGCTTTAACCTTCTCCCTGCCCTCTTCAGTGCTGTGGCTTGTGGCACAGGCAACCTTGCTCCAGGCAGGGAGGGAGAGTAGGGTGAGAACCCTGATAGAGGCTGGAAGAGGCTGACAGGAGCAGTCCACAGGGTCAGAAGAGCTCTGAGGTCTTGCCCTGCCCACGTCTGTAATGCCAGTCTGTGAACCCAGGGAGCTGGGACTTTTATCTCATTCAGTGCTGCTGGTACCTGGCACAGTGCTTAGCATGGTCAATAAATGAACATACCACAGACCCAGGAGTCCCCGTAACCAATCCCTAACCTGGGCAGCTGCCTCCTGTCTGTGCAGTGAGTGAGCTCAGTCAGCACATGGGGGGCCAGGGGCACTGTGTCAGGCAGGGACTTCTCTCTTTTGGATGGAAGTTCTGGTCCCCAGAGCCTGGCTGGGTGTGATCCTGGTGCCCCCTAGTGGCTGTGGCTGGCAGACCGGGACAACCCAGCACCAACTATTTGGGCGCTCAAGCCATTGCATTCTAGCAGGGAGTGAGCACAGGCTGGGGTGGGATGGAATTCCTAGCTGAGAACAGGCCCTGCCCACCAGAGGAGACTGCCTCCCCTTTTTGGCTTTGAGAACCGAACTTGGCTGGGGTGGGGGGCTGTCCAGAGCTAGTGTCTTCCTCCTCCCTCAGAGGGCGCTCTAATGGAAGTCTTGCAGCTGCTGCAAGGGCTCTGCCCAGCAGGGGTCCCCTAAATGGGGATTGGATTCCCCTCTGTGGGATAGAAGCAGGGCCCCCTCTCTCCCTGCCACAGGGTCTCAAACAGGCTAGGGGTCTCTCACCTCACTGCCTTTGGCCAGGGCAGAGCCACCACCCAGCAGGAACACGATATTCCAGGGCATCTTCTGGTTCACTGTCTTCCAGCTGAGGAGGGCAGGAGGGGCCTTCAGCTTCCCTGGTTTTTCTGCTCCCAAGCAGAGAAGGACAGGTCACCAAGATCAAACAGGCTTTTCTTCCCTCTACTTGGGGGCTCCCTGTGTGCGTCCCTATCCGAGCTTAGTGTATGCAGGAGGGGACCCTCAGTTTTGCAACATCCCAACTTTGTCCCCGTGTAATTGGCAAGTTACACCAGCCTCTCTGGGCTTTGCCACTCCTGCCAAGTGTGATCAAAGGTGCATTACATGCCTGAAGACAAGATTTGCCCGGAGACCTTTCCCTGCCCCAGTCCAGGTGCTTACCTGGGTTCTGGGTCAGCCCTGGGATCTTGGAGGGCACGATGAACATAATTGTGCTGATGAAGATGGCCACTGTCCCATCAGACACCATGCTGTGGGTGGGGTGGGGAGGGCAGGCTTAGTGGCTCAGAGCTGCTTGGGGCTGCAGGTAGAGGGGTGGTAGAGAGGAGCCTCTCCCACAGAAATGCCTGGGGACTCCCCCATGTGTTACCTCCTGTTCTGCACTGGGAGCCCCTTCCCTCCTCCTGGAGCATATGAGTCCCAGGTGTGTCCTCCTCCTGTCCCCCGCAACTCTCACCTATTCCCACGAGCGTTGGCAAAAGCCAGGTTGCCCCAGCCAAGGAAAAAGCCTGGCTCCCGCGTGAACCAGAGCAGCACCAGGGTGACAAAGAGGAAAGTGACAGCCTTTTCTGCGAAGGTCATGGGGCCCAGCAGCTTGTGCTCTGTCTGGATGACTTGGAAGGCTGCCCGCTGTTGCCTCTTCGCCTGTTCTCCAAAGCCAAAGTTCTTCCGAATGCTGCAGGTAGAGGATCAGAGGCAGCTCATGAGGGACCAGTACCAGGCAGGGAGCCAGAGACTCTGAGAACCCATGATATGAAGACTGAGACCCACAGAGGGCATCTCAGGGTCATAACTCTAAGGCCCTCCATCCACCCCAGGTTCTGAAAGAGTAGAAGGCTCTGGGAGGTGGGAGGGATGGTGGCGCAGGCATAGTGGCTCACAACTGTAATCACAGTGCTTTGGGAGATCAAGACAGGAGGATCGTTTGAGGCCAGGGAAACATAGCAAGATCCCATCTCTACCAAATAAAAAGTAAAGAAATTAGCCGGGTGTGGTGGTGCATGCCTATAATCTCAGCTATTTGGGATGCTGAGGTGGGAGGATGGCTTGAGTTCAGGAATTTGAGGTTGCAGTGAGCTATGATCATACCACTGTGCCATAACCCCCAAGAGTCTTCTTTATTTTTTGTATTTTTAAAGACAGGGTCTCACTCTGTCGCCCAGGCTGGGATCTGCTGCATCTGCCCCATTAAATCCTCTTCCTCTTCTAGGGTGCTGAGCCCTACCTTGCCCAGGGTGGAGAGGACCTAGCGGCTTGGACCCCATGCCTCCTTCTAGCCCTGACTCACAGCTCGCCTCCAACAGCCTTTCAGCAGATCCTCCTGTTCCTCCTCTACCTGCTTCTGGGTATCCCTGCCAGCCTGAGTCCCACTTGCATTGTCCTCAGAGGCACAGGAGGCTGCAGCCCACTTCCTTGTGCTGTTTACTTAACTTATGTTGACATTTAACTTTCCACTTGGGTAAATCTCAACTTCCTCGCTGGACTGTGAGTTCCTTAAGGGTAAAGACCATGCTTCATACGTCTGTGACTCTGCCATGGTGCCTGGCACTGTGCTGATTTCTTTGACTTCCATCTTGTCTTATACCAGATCCCAATCTTAATCCAGCCTCCTTGCATTTGCCCAAGTGATTTTTCCAAAGTGCAGCGATAATGCTTAAAAACTTTCAATGGATCCTCTCTGTCTGGGCAGGGAGGGCAAATTACATCTCATACCACAGTAACACTCATACCACCACTTTTATCCTGTACTCATGGCAGATATTACTAGTCAATCACAGACTCAATTCCAACTGAGTTTTGGCAGAGTCTCCCATTATTGTCAACTCAGAGCTCCAAACGGTGACTACCAGTAACCCAGGGGTGGAAGTAGAAATGAAACCCATCTATTACTCTTGGCCTCAAGGACAAGGTCCAAACTCTTTTTGTGACACAGGAGAGCCTGTATAATCTTTCCCTGTCTACTTCTTTGGTTTCATGTCCTAATACTCCTTTTTGCTCTTTGTGTTTCAGTCCTACAGAACTAGAGATCCCCCCAAACACATGTCCTTTCTTGCCTCTGTGCTTTAGGCAAGCTGTTCCCGCTGCCTGGAATGCCTTTACCCCACTCTTTACCCAGCTGACTTCTAGTCAGCTCAGGCATTATCTTCTCCAGGGGTCTTCTGAAATCCCCATGAACCTGGGCTGAACTAGGTATTCCATCCTCTGTGCTCCCACAGCATTTGGGCTTCCCACTGTCAGGCCCCCACCATAATACCACTCATCAGCTGGGTTATAAGGTCAGGGACTATGCCTATTACCATCTAGTATTCTCAGTGCAGTGCCTAGCACAGGGCCAGGCAAACCATAGGAACACTATGAATGCTCCTGTTACTGACCATGCTCAATGGGCGCCTTAAGTACTTATCAAAGGACAGTGGAGTATCTTGGGAGGGGGCCTGACCTGAGCATCAGGAGACCTGGTTTTCAATCCCAGGACTGACAAATCTAGTTGTGTTCCATCCATGAGCCTCAGTTTGCTCATCTTCTGAATGGGGTCATACACTCTACCCAGTAATTCCCTCACATGGGAGTCCAAGTGCACAGAGGGGCCTTGGGAGGGAGAAGTCTTCTCATTGGGATGGTGATCATATCACTTTTCACATCTGGACCCAACTGGAAGCTCCCAGGGTTAAGGGCAGGGACCCGGGCTTCTCTCACCTTCTATGCCACTTACTTGAAGCCCAGGAAGAGGACCTGCAGCCATAGCCAGGCCAGCAGCAGCAAGATAACCATGGTGGGGAAGGCAAAGCTGAACCAGGAGGCAAAGTTCACCACGTTGGCATTTTGGGGGAAGAGCCTGAAAGGAGACATGGGCTGCTGTGTGATGCTGCCCCACCTCACCTGCCTCCCAGTGAGTGCAGACCCCCACCCTGCTCGCCCCACCCCTTGTCACTCACGAGTTGATCTGGCTTTGCAGCACCAGGTTGGGCGTGGTGCCAGTCAGCGTGGCGATGCCCCCGATGCTGGCTGAGTAGCACACACACAGGCTCATACCCTGGGTGAAGCGGAGTTGCTCCTGGTTCTGATGGTCCCTCCCGGGTGGGACAGGATGGGCCTGCCCATTATCTGTGTACAAGGGAAATCTCAGATGGGGGTGGGCGACACAGTGCCAGCTCTAAGGAACATGGCTTGGGCTCCAGGGCACCTTGTCTGGAAACCACCATGACCTAGGCTAGGAGGAGGGCAGAGGCTGCCTCCAGGTCTGAATGGGACCATCGTTCCCCAGAGTCTCAGGCTGGGAGTACCCTCAAACACCATCTGGTCCAACCTCTCTTGAGATAGAGAAGCTGAGACACAGAGAAGGGGAGAGGATTGTCCAAACCACACAGGAAGAATGGAGCCCAGAGTCCTGACTGCCCACCTAGACTCCAGCTATCTTCTTGCTGGGGTGACCAAGCATCTTGGTCTTCCCATGGGACTTCGCATTTGCAAACCAGGAAAGTCTCTGGCCAACTGGAACAAGTTGGTCACAATACTCTTGCCTCCTTTTCTCTCCCCAAAAGTTACAAGATGACTACGCCTCGAAACAAACTGCCTTCAAGGTCCTCCCCAAGAACCAGAGGGTCGGGGCAGGGCCTGGCCTCATCTTTCTCACCAAGCTTGGTCTCCTCCTTCTGGGGACTTGGTTCCTGGAGCTCAAAGGTGGGGTTGCTACTGCCTTCCTCGACATCCTTGCTGGCACGACTGCTGTGCAGTTGCTCCAGGACAGCGTGCGCGATGGGCACCATCATAGCCGTGGTGGCCGTGTTGCTGATCCACATGGACAGGAAAGCCGTGACCAGCATGAAGCCCAGGATCAGCCTAGGGATGGGCAGATGGACACACGGCTGTTCCAGCATCTCTTCGGGGACAGGACGCCCAGAGGGCCACCCTGTGCCAGGTTCTCCTGTCCTGGTGTGTAGGAACTTACAGGGCGGGCCGCACCCCGATGATGAGGAGCACACGGAGGGCAATGCGCTTGTGCAGGTTCCAGTGCTCCACTGCGATGGCCACCAGCAGCCCCCCGATGAACAGGATGTTGGTGTCCCTAAAGTACTCGATGCAGACCTGGCAGGAAGGGACACGCTGAGAGACAGGAGACCCAGGGGTCTCCCATGGTGCCCCTGGGTGGATGGGGAGCAGTCGTCATGGACATTCTCATGAACTGGCATCCCCCTGGGCTCTCGGAACCCATGGAAGTGATTTTTGGATTATCTGTCATTTGATTTTAACCAGGCTCCTCTCTTCTTGCCAAACTCACGTTTTGCCCCCTTGGGAATGATTGGGAGATAAGCTGCCCTGATGCTATCTATGTTTCAAGGCATCGATTGGGAGTTAGGCGACTTAGTGCTGCTTCTAGGAACTACAGCAGCAGTTCTCAAAGTGTGGCCCTGGGCCAGCATCATTACCATCACCTGGACCTGTTAGAAACGAAATGCTTTGGCCCCACCCAAGATCTACTGATTCAGAAATCTGAGGCAGGGCCCAGCCATTCCTGTTTTAACCAGCTCTCCAGGTGACTGATACTTGTTCAAGTTCAAGCGCCACTGAACGAGAAGTTTGTGAGCCCTTTAGCGAGCTTTCAGGGACCTTTTTTTCTGGGGTCACTAGGCCTTTCACCTCCCTGACCTAAGGCTGGCAAATCACTCCCACTGTGAATGAACTCTCAACACCGGCCACACCCTTGGTATTTCTAGAATGCCCTCCCCTTGTCTTCAACTGACTCCTCTGTGCTCTCTCAGGGCAGAGGAAGGAGCCCCTTTCCCGTGGCCTTGTCTGTGATGAGGCTTCTCGATCACAGGATCCTAGGAAAGACCCCCCCGTCCCATCCCTGGGAGTCCTTTCTCCTAGGATGGGGGCTCACCTCAGAGGCATCCATGATGCCCATCATGGGGAACAGGATGATGGGGAAGAGGGCGGTGACAGCCAGGGGCAGAGCCTCGGTGCACCAGAAGAGCGCCATGAGGATGATGGCAAAGGCGCAGTAGGCCTCCTGCAGGCGGGAGAAGAGTGGCACAACTGTCAGAAGGGCAGGTCTGTGTCCTCCAGTCATGCCACCTCCTGCACCCCAGGCAAACCAGACCATTTGGAACAGCCTGGGGAGAGCATTGACATCCACAGTCATAAATTCCCAAGCCCAAGGTCCCATTTCAAAATGGAAATGAAAAACAAAGGAAGGCACTTTCCACCTTGTCTTTGACCTTGGGCACCCTGGGCATTATAAACCAGCTACCCCCCAGGAGTCTGGAGTTGACAATCAGTCCCCATCCAGCCCTAGGGGGGTGAAGGAGGAGGGGGCCCAGGTGAGGATCCTGAGACGAGATAGGGGCTGCCAGAGAAAGGAGTGGCACCTGGGCAATGTGGCCCCCCTGCCTGGAGCCCTGGCTTGCTGTGGCTCTTATCACAGCCTGTAAGAATATGATTATTTGAGCCAGGTGCAGTGGCTCATGTCTGCAATCCCAGCTGCTCAGGAGGATTGCTTGAGTCCAGGAGTTCGAGGCTGCAGTGAGCTAGGATTGTGCCTTATTTGTATGATTATTTAGTGTTTGTTCCCTCTGTCAGAAGGTGAGCTCCACAAGGACAGAATCAGTTTTGTGGCATCTGGGTCCTTGGGGCTCAAGACCCAGCAGGCCTCAGAGCAAATCTTGTCTGAATGAATGAATCACTGGAAAGTTTGGGGGAATGGTAAAGGGTCTCCTTCCTAGCAATCCTGGCCTGGTCACTGCATTACACAACTCCAGAGTCTCCATTCACACCTATGAGTATAGACTATGAACGTGTTCCCATCCCCGTGTCGTGTGGGAAATCGGGGGCAATGCTGCATCATCGTCTCATGAGTCTTTGGGTACCAGAAGTCCTCTTTCTCTCATGAAGCCCCCAAGTCTAGAAAAGCCTGACCTCAGGCTTGGGAGGGGACCCAGGAAAGGAATGGGGGCCCACCCTTTTTGACAGAGCCTCTCCCAGGGCTGGGGAAATCATTAGCTAGGAGGCCTCCAGGGGAGAAGACACCTGCATCCAAGGCTCTCTGGGAGCCGGGCATCTGCCCACTCTGTTTGCCAAAGGAAGGGGCCCCATGCTGGGGTTAATTGGACAGTGGGACTGGGGCCCCCTTCTGCCTTACCTGTCCCAGTTGCCCTGCCCTGCGTGTCCTCTCCACCTGATATGGGCTGGGCTCACCCTTAGTACCTCACACCCTCAGTACCCTCAAGTTTAAGAGGGGTCTGCTGGGGTAGGAGTGGGGGGGTGGCCTAGGGAAAGAGGAAGCAGCTGCGTATTGAGCAATTCTTAGATGCTTAGTGCTGTCATTTTTGTGGTTAATTGAAAACATAATAGCCATTAAGTTGGGTGTGGTGGTCCCATGTTATAGTTGAGCTCAGAGGCTATGTGACTTGCTCAAGGTCACAGAACTAGGGAGTGGTAGCACCAGGATGGAACTTAGGTAAGGCATCTGGATTGAGTAACTCCATGCGCTACCTGAGAACATTCTCCTTGTAGTCTATGTAAATGGTGCCCCTGGAGTTTTGCAGTGCACAGCCTACACAGCTGTACACAGCCCTCCACCAAATCTGTCTTCAATCTTCCACTAAATCTTCACTTCTCCTCACCCTGGACATAAACTCATCAGCTCCAGGACTGGGTCCACCTTGATCCTTGGCCAGAGACCCACCCCGCTTTCTTCTCCCAGTAGGATTCTGCTGATGCTGGTGTTTCCTTACCTGTAAAGATTGAATGGCCAGTTACCCTACTATCGGCCTAAGGGCAGGTCAGCCCTCTGAACGCTGGTGCCCCCCACCCTGTCCAGCTAGAACTCCTTGGCCAGAAACAGAGAGGGGGGCTGGGGCAGATGACCACTCTGTTGATTCAAGAAGGAAGCTCAGCAGAAATATCCCGAGGACTGCTCTGTGCCAGGTATTGTATCCTACGTGCTTCAAATGCTTTTGAAAATTGCATTTAGTTGCTCTGTAGGGTAATGACTATTGTCTTCCTTTCACAGACGAAAAAGGAAAGGTGCAAATAAATTTCGTAAATGTCTCGAAGTCACACAAATAGTAAGCAGAGAAGTCAGGCCATCCGGTTCTTGGGCCCCAGCTCTCACCTACCACCCTGAGCTCAATCCTTTGCATTTGAGGGTGTACTCAGCCTCAGGTTCCTTGTGACCCTTGGGGGTAGGGGAAGAAATTCAGATCTATCCTCCCCAGGGCCTGTTGCTTCCTGTCACCTGACTCTGTCAAGTTGTTTCACTTTTGAGACTCCATTTCTACATCCCAAAGGGAGTTGTTAATAGTCAAACCTGCCTCTGTGGGCTCCAGTATGTTTAAGATATGCCTTCCTTCCCTTCACAATTATGCTGGGTCCCTCTCCAAGGATCAAAACCTGAAACCTGTCTCAAAGTTCCATCCAGAGGCCCTCTCTAACCTCAGGCTTTGGCCCTGTGTCCCCATCCCACCTCCGGGCAGCCTGTCAAGCTGTAGCATAACTTGCTGATTTGTTCTTCCTGGATCATGGGCTTCTTAACTGGGGCATGGAATTCCAAGGATCTATGAAGTTGGATGGGGCTGGGCACAGAGGCTTATGCCTGTAATCCTAGCACTTTGGGAGGCCAAGGAGGGAGGATCACTTGAACCCAGGAGTTCAAGACCAGCTTCGGCAACATAGTGAGATCTTACTTCTACCAAAAAAAAAAAAAAAAAATCAAAAAAATTAGGCATGATGGCATGTGTCTGCAGCCCCAGCTACTCGGGAGACTGAAGCAAAAGTTTCGCCTGAGCCAGGAGGTTGACACTGTGGTGAGCCATGATCGTGCCACTGTACTCCAGACTAAGCAACAGAGTGAGACCCCAACTCAAAAAAAAAAGTATATATAAAGTTGTGTGGGAAACTATTTCATCTATTCACTACATCTAATTAAGGTTATGAACAGAGGTAACATAGCACCTCAATACAGAGGCAATGGTATTATTGGTAACTTTGTGACAGAGTTGATTGTGGCTATCAGATAGTGGATATCTGCCCAGATCAGTTACTGCAGCTATCTCAGAATATATCTCAGCAGACTGTTTACAGCCATCATTATTTTGAAATTATGGTGGTTATTATAACACCACTAGATCTTACTTAATGCGCTGGTAAGGAAGCACATATATTTCTGAATTGTAATTTACTTTTTCATATTTTGATAACTGTATTTCAAAATAATTGGTTTCTTTTGTAATTCTGTGCATTTTATTGTATGTGTTTCAAAGCAATATTCTGAGAAGACCGGAACTGAGACTCAGGGAGGCCTAGCATTGCCTACTTGGCCTGGGTTTGAGGCTGGGGGCCTCTCGGTCCCCCTGGGCCAGCTGCCAGCCCCTTGGGCACTCCCCAAGGGTAAAGCACTGGGAATCTTTTCTCCTAGGGCACACAATACATCTGATTACAAGGTCAATATCCCCAGCTCTAGAAAGGGGGACTCGGGGACAGATCTACCCTTCCAGGTCACTCTAGTGGACCCATTCTCTGCCCCTAGTACCCACTCTCTGCCTTGCAGCCAGCTCTGTGGAACCTGGGCTGGCCAAGCTCAGCTGGCAGTCTATGGCATGGGACCCAACCGGTTTACACACTGGCCACTGGCAGCTCTCCAGGGCTGCTGTGCTGCCCAAGTCCAGGCACGCCATCCACACGTGGAATTGTGCAAGGTAGAGCCTATACCGCTGTCTGCGGGCCCCTTCCCAGAGCTCAGAATCCAGCAGGGGAGAGAGATCTCCTGGTGGCCAAGGCTCTTCTTCCTGCCTCTGTCATGACTCCTGCCTTCCCTAGGCCAGCAGGGTGGTTGCTCCCTAGCTCTGTTCTTTAACTGTAGCTCGTACTCCCCTCTCTGTGTTGGTGGATGCCAGGGCTGAGCCTCTTTCTCCTCTGTGTCTCAAGCCCGTCACTCTCTTTTCTTTTCTTTTTGAGTTGGAGTCTCACTCTGTTGCCCAGGTTGAAGTGTAGTGGCACGCTCACGGCCACTGCAGCCTCAACCTGCTGGGCTCAGGCGATCCTTCCACCTTAGCCTTCCAAGTAGCTGGAACTACAGGTGTAAGCCACCACATCTGGCTATTTTTAAAAAAAAATTATTGAAGAGACGAGGTCCTGCCATGTTGCCCAGGCTGGTCTCAAACCCCTGGACGCAGGCAATCCTCTTGACTCCGCCTCCCAAAGTGCTGGGATACAGGCCGTGGGTGCTGGCCTGGTCTGTAAATCCTCCTTTACTACCCCCCCGCCAAGGAAGACACCCTGTTCAGCTCTCCACTCTTCTCTACCCCCAGGCAGTCCCTGCCATTGGAAATCCATTGGGCCTTCTGCCTGTCCATCAGCCTCTTACTCCACAAAAACCTTCTCTGGACCAGGGTCCCAGTCCTGCTGGTTCTGCCCTTCAAGTGCTCCCATTTGCTTTTTTCTAACTCTGGGTCACTAACCTGGTCCATGCCCCAGCATCTGTCACCCGGACTCCCGCAAAAGCCTCCTTACATATCTCCCAGCTTCCTCGCTTGCCCCTGGAACCCCTTCTCCTTGCTGCAGCCAGTGTGATCTCAGGGCGCAAATCTGTGTAATTTGCACCTTCCAACACACACGGCAGCTCAGATCCCTTCAGTGGCTTCCTACTGCTTTCTGGAACCTAGATTCAGGTCTGGCCTGTGCCTTACATCTTAACCGTCCTTCTTGCTCTCTCTGTTTCAGCCACATCGCCTGCTTCAGCTTTCTCAAATACTCCACCCTTCTTCTGGCCACAGGGCCTTTGCACATAATTTCCTTTCTCTGGACCTCTCTTCTCTCCCTTCTTTGCCTCGTTGATGCCTACTCACTCTTGAGATCTCAACTCAAATTTTCCTTTTTCAGGGAAGCCTCCCTGGCTTCCAGGCTGGGGCACAGTCCTCACAGTTCACACTCTAAGCCCCTGTACCTCTTCTGCAGCACACTCATCACAGTCTGTTTAATTAAACATTTCTTTCTTTCTTTTTTTTTTTTGAA